GATGCCATAGCACTGAGCCATGGCAGCTAAAGTGGTGCCAAACTACATTCCTTCCATAGCATAGGTGCGCCCTTAGGAAAAACTACAACTCCCACAACTCCATAGCATTGAACCATGGCAGCTAAAGTGGTACAGAATGTCATTCATTCTGCAGTGTTTACACACACTCTTAGTAAAACTACAACTCCCAGGATGCCATAACACTGAGCCATGGAAGCCAAAGTGGTGCCAGACTAGCATAGTTGCACCTCTAGTAAAACTACAGCTCCCACAACTCCATAGCATTGAACCATGGCAGCCAAAGTGGTACGGAATGGCATTCATTCTGCAGTGTTTACATGCACTCTTAGTAAAACTACAACTCCCAGGATGCCATAACACTGAGCTACGGCAGTCAAAGTGGTGCCAAACTGCATTCATTCCATAACATAGGAGCACCCTTAGTGAATCTATAACTTGCACAATTCCATAGCATTGAACCATGGCAGCCAAAGTGGTGCCGAATGGCATTCATTCTGCACCCTTAGTAAAACTATAACTCCCAGGATCCCATAGCACTGAGCCATGGCAGCCAAAGTGATGCCAAATGGCATTCATTCTGCAGTGTTTACATGCACTCTTAGTAAAACTACAACTCCCAGGATGCCATAACACTGAGCCATGGAAGCCAAAGTGGTGCCAACCTCACATAGTTGCACCCTTAGCAAAACTACAGCTCCCACAACTCCATAGCATTGAACCATGGCAGCCAAAGTGGTGCCGAATGGCATTCATTCTGCAGTGTTTACATGCACGCTTAGTAAAACTACAACTCCCAGGATCCCATAGCACTAAGCCATGGCAGCCAAAGTGGTGCCAAACTGCATTCATTTCATAGCGTAGGTGCACCCTTAGTAAAACTACAGCTCCCAGAACTCCATAGCATTGAACTACGGCAGCCAAAGTGGTGCCGAACGGCATTCATTCTGCACCCTTAGTAAAACTACAAATCCCAGGATCCCACAACATTGAGCCATGGCAGCCAAAGTGGTTCCAAATGCCATTCATTCTGAAGTGTTTATGTGCACCCTTAGTAAAACTACAACTCCCAGCATCCTATAGCATGGAGCTGTGGCAGGCAAAGTGGTACCAAACTGCATTAAGTTGACAGTGTAGATGCAGCCGAAGGAGTCAAGTCCATGAAGCTGAAGGGAGCAAACCTTCTCAGAGAACGTCCATTGATGCCTTTGGGTTGCATAGAATGGGACACTAATTTGCAAGCCGTATTATTATCCTAATAGTAAAAGACTTATTAAAAGACTTGGGTGGTTTGTTTGTTTCGGAACAATCCCAACAGAGAGATTCCTCCCAGTGAATCAGTTCAGGATGTCAGAGTGTTCTGTCAACAAGTGGAATATTAGCATCCCCGGGGAAAGCATTACATGTCTGCGTTTTGTTTTGATTTCAATGGACAGTACCAAGTGATACATTGAGATGGCTCAGGGCCTTAGAATCATAGAATCATAGAATCAAAGAGTTGGAAGAGACCTTCATGGGCCATCCAGTCCAACCCCATTCTGCCAAGAAGCAGGAATATTGCATTCAAATCACCCCTGACAGATGGCCATCCAGCCTCTGTTTAAAAGCTTCCAAAGAAGGAGCCTCCACCACACTCCGTTGCAGAGAGTTCCACTGCTGAACGGCTCTCACAGTCAGGAAGTTCTTCCTCATGTTCAGATGGAATCTCCTTTCTTGTAGTTTGAAGCCTTTGTTTCGTGCGTCCTAGTCTCCAGGAAGCAGAAAACAAGCTTGCTCCCTCCTCCCTGTGGCTTCCTCTCACATATTTATACATGGCTATCATATCTCCTCTCAGCCTTCTCTTCTTCAGCTAAACATGCCCAGCTCCTTAAGCCGCTCCTCATAGGGCTTGTTCTCCAGACCCTTGATCATTTTAGTCGCCCTCCTCTGGACACATTCCAGCTTGTCAATATCTCTCTTGAATTGTCGTGCCCAGAATTGGACACAATATTCCAGGTGTGGTCTAACCAAAGCAGAATAGAGGGGTAGCATTACTTCCCTAGATCTAGACACTATGCTCCTATTGATGCAGGCCAAAATCCCATTGGCTTTTTTTGCCGCCACATCACATTGTTGGCTCATGTTTAACTTGTTGTCCACGAGGACTCCAAGATCTTTTTCACACGTACTGCTCTCGAGCCAGGCATCCCCCATTCTGTATCTTTGCATTTCATTTTTTTCTGCCAAAGTGGAGTATCTTGCATTTGTCACTGTTGAACTTCATTTTGTTAGTTTTGGCCCATCTCTCTAATCTGTCAAGATCGTTTTGAATTCTGCTCCTGTCCTCTGGACTATTGGCTATCCCTCCCAATTTGGTGTCGTCTGCAAACTTGATGATCATGCCTTCTAGCCCTTCATCTAAGTCATTAATAAAGATGTTGAACAGGACCGGGCCCAGGACGGAACCCTGCGGCACTCCACTTGTCACTTCTTTCCAAGATGAGGAGGAAGCATTAGTGAGCACTCTCTGTGTTCGTCCACTTAACCAATTACAGATCCACCTCACCGTAGTTTTGCCTAGCCCACATTGGACTAGTTTCCTTGCCAGAAGGTCATGGGGGACCTTGTCGAAGGCCTTACTGAAATCCAGGTACGCTACATCCACGGCATTCCCCGCATCTACCCAGCTTGTAGCTCTATCGAAGAAAGAGATCAGATTAGTCTGGCATGACTTGTTTTTGATAAATCCATGTTGACTATTAGCGATGACTGCATTTGTTTCTAAGTGTTTGCAGACCGCTTCATTAACAATCTTTTCCAGAATCTTGCCCGGTATCGACGTGAGGCTGACCGGACGGTAGTTGTTTGGGTCATCCTTTTTTCCCTTCTTGAAGATTGGGACCACATTGGCCCTCCTCCAATCTGCTGGAACTTCTCCCGTTCTCCAAGAACTCTCAAAGATGGTTGCCAATGGTTCCGAAATGACTTCCGCTAGTTCCTTCAATACTCTGGGGTGTAGTTGATCTGGCCCTGGGGACTTGAACTCATTAAGAGCGGCCAGGTATTCCTGGACGACTCCTTTCCCAATTTGGGGTTGGATGTCCTCCAATCCCTCATCCACTCCATCTTGCTGAGGTTGAAGACTCTCTTTTTGTGAGAAGACCGAGGCAAAGAAGGCATTAAGTAGTTCTGCCTTTTCCCTATCCCCTGTCAGCATTGCCCCATCTTCTCCTCGAAGAGGTCCTATCGCCTCCTTGTTTTTCCTTTTTCTACTGCCTTGGGAAACCGCAACTCCTAGGATCCCGTCGCAAGGAGCCAAGGCAGTTCTGCAGTGTAGATGGATTGCAGCCAATGTGACGTTTCCTTATAGGGAAAGATGTACTATGTACAGGGGCGGCTCGTCCATTACGCAAAGTAAGCGGTTGCAGAACACTTTTTTTGCCAGGGGCGCAGAGGCGCCTGTGTAAATGCCCCTCGACTGCCACTTGAGGAGCGCCCCCTCCGCTCACAACAGCCCTAGCAGTCCGGGGGGAGCCTCGGCTTTCTTGCCTCGCTGCCGGGCGATCCTCTTCCCAAAGGGGCCAGGCCCTTGAGCCTCGCCTACCCCCTCTCATTCCTGCTCCACCCGGCCACCGGGTGCATGAGCAGAGCTGGCGCTCAATCGTTCTCCACGTTCGATCCCTTCCCCATGACCGGCTCCCTTTCCCAATCCCCCGGTGCTCCACCCGCCACCTCTCCTCTCCCCAATCTGCGGGTGGGCCTGGAGATTGGGTCTGGAGGCATGTCTGAAGACCCCAGTGTGCACACCAAAAGTCGCCTCTTCTCCTGACTTTCTCTTCAGCCATTGGGACCAAGAGAGAGAGAGAGAGCCCCTCCGGCTGGAGGTATCTCCCACCTCCGCTCCCTCCTTTGTTTTTGCGCCTACTTTCAGGAAAGGTGGGCATCTCCATCTTCAGCCATTGGGACCGAGAGAGAGAGAGCCTCTCCGGCTGGAGGTATCTCCCACCTCTGCTCCCTCCTTTGTTTTTGCGCCTACCTTCAGGAAAGGTGGGCATCTCCATCTTCAGCCATTGGGACCAAGAGAGAGAGAGAGAGAGAGAGCGGCTGGAGGTATCTCCCACCTCTGCTCCCTCCTTTGTTTTTGCGCCTACCTTCAGGAAAGGTGGGCATCTCCATCTTCAGCCATTGGGACCAAGAGAGAGAGAGAGAGAGACCCTCCGGCTGGAGGTATCTCCCACCTCCGCTCCCTCCTTTGTTTTTGCGCCTACTTTCAGGAAAGGTGGGCATCTCCATCTTCAGCCATTGGGACCGAGAGAGAGAGAGAGAGCCTCTCCGGCTGGAGGTATCTCCCACCTCTGCTCCCTCCTTTGTTTTTGCGCCTACCTTCAGGAAAGGTGGGCATCTCCATCTTCAGCCATTGGGACCAAGAGAGAGAGAGAGAGAGAGAGAGACCCCTCCGGCCGGAGGTATCTCCCACCTCCGCTCCCTCCTTTGTTTTTGCGCCTACCTTCAGGAAAGGTGGGCATCTCCATCTTCAGCCATTGGGACCGAGAGAGAGAGAGCCCTCCGGCTGGAGGTATCTCCCACCTCCGCTCCCTCCTTTGTTTTTGCGCCTACCTTCAGGAAAGGTGGGCATCTCCACCTCTCTCTCTCTCTCTCTCTCTCTTGGTCCCAATGGCTGAGGAGAAAGTCAGGAGAAGAGGTGGCTTTTGGTGCACACGCCGGGGTCTTCAGGCACGCCTCCGGACCCAAAGCGGGCCAGGCAAGGGAGCAAGTGCGGCAAGTGTAGTTACTGGGATGTATAGTTCACCTACAATCAAAGAGCATTCTGAACTCCACCAATGATGGAATTGAACCAAAAATGGCACACAGAACTCCCACGACAAACAGAAAATATATATCAATGATTGGTTGGGGGGGGGGGGGCAAAATACTGTTTGCTTACTGTTGAAAATTACCTAGGGCCGCCTCTGCTTGCACTGGACACTTGAATCAATTTTCAGGCTCTTTGAGACCCACCCAGAATGCAAGGATGTCTTCTTCCTCTTCCGTGACATCGACGACTTGCAGCAGCTGAAGATGAGCAAGGAGCTGCAGGCTCACGGCCTCCGGTAAGGAGCCTGCACTGGAAATACATCTGCACTGGAAAATTAATGCACTTCGAACTGGAAGATGCAACAGCAACATTATTATTACTATTACCACTACTATTGCTATTGCTAAATAGCTGGAAGATGCAACAGTCACATTATTATTATTATTATTATTATTATTATTATTATTATTATTATAAAGTTGGAACTGAAGGATACAATAGTATTACTACTACTACTAAATAGTTGGAACTAGAAGATGTAACAGTAATGTTATTATCATTAAACTGGAAGATGCAACAGTAAAATAATAATTATTATTATTATTATTATAAAGTTGGAACTGAAGGATACAATAGTATTACTACTACTACTAAATAGTAACTTTATTATTTCTACTACTAAATAGCTGGAACTGGAAGGTGCATCAGTAACTTTACTACTACTACTACTACTAAATAGTTAATACTGGAAGGTGCAACAGTAACTTTATTATTACTACTACTAAATAGCTGGAGCTGGAAGATGCAACAATAACATTATTACTACTAGTACTAAATAGAAGATGTAACAGTAATGTTATTATCATTAAACTGGAAGATGCAACAGTAACATTACTACTACTACTAAATAGTTGGAATTAGAAGATGCAACAGTAATGCTGGTATTATTATTATTATTATTATTATTAAACAAACTGGAAGATGCAACAGTAACATTACTATTACTAAATAGTTAGAACTGGAATGTGCAACAGTAACTTGATTATTACTACTAAATAGCTGGAGCTGGAAGGTGCATCAGTAACATTACTACTAATAGTAGTAATAGTGAGAACTGGAAGGTGCAGCGGTAACACTACTACTACTAAATAGCTAGAACTGGAATATGCAAGAGTAACATTACTACTAGTAGTACTAAATAGTACTGGAAGGTGCAACAGTAACATTATTACTGCTACTAAATAGCTAGAACTGGAAGATGTATCAGTAACATTACTACTACTAAATAGTTAGAACTGGAAGGTGCAGCAGTAACACTACTACTACTAAATAGCTGGAACTGGAATGTGCAACAGTAACATTATTACAATTACTACTACTAAATAGCTGGAACTGGAAGATGTATCAGCAACATTACTACTATTACTACTACTAAATAGTTAGAACTGGAAGGTGCAACAGTAACTTTATTATTATTGTTGTTGTTCATTCGTTCACTCATCTCCGACTCTTCGTGACCTCATGGACCAGCCCACGCCAGAGCTCCCTGTCGGCCGTCACCACCCCCAGCTCCTTCAAGGTCAGTCCAGTCACTTCAAGGATGCCATCCATCCATCTTGCCCTTGGTCGGCCCCTCTTCCTTTTGCCTTCCACTTTCCCCAGCATAATTGTCTTCTCTAGGCTTTGCCTGTCTCCTCATGATGTGGCCAAAGGACTTCAGCTTTCCCTCTCGTCTCCTTCCCTCCAGTGAGCAGCCGGGCTTTATTTCCTGGAGGATGGACTGGTTGGATCTTCTTGCAGTCCAAGGCACTCTCAGCACTTTCCTCCAACACCACAGCTCAAAAGCATCTCTCTTCCTTCGCTCAGCCTTCCCTAAGGTCCAGCTCTCACATCCGTAGGTGACTACAGGGAAGACCATGGCTTTGACTAGGCGGATCTTTGTTGCCAGTCTGATGTCTCTACTCTTTACGATTTTATCGAGATTGGACATTGCTCTCCTCCCAAGAAGTAAGCGTCTTCTGATTTCCTGGCCACAGTCTGCATCTGCAGTCATCTTTGCGCCTAGAAATACAAAGTCTGTCACGGCCTCCACGGTTTCTCCCTCTATTTTCCAGTTGTCAATCATTCTTGTTGCCATAATCTTGGTTTTTTTGAAGTTTAGCTGCAACCCGGCTTTTGCGCTTTCTTCTTTCACCTTGATTAGAAGGCTCCTCAGCTCCTCCTCGCTTTCGGCCATCAGAGTGGTGTCATCTGCATATCTGAGGTTGTTAATGTTTCTTCCAGCAATTTTTACCCCAGCTTTGCATTCATCAAGCCCCGCACATCCTCGCATGATGTGTTCTGCATACATGTTAAAAAGGTTGGGTGAGAGGATGCAGCCTTGCCGGACGCCTTTCCCAATCTTGAACCAGTCTGTTGTTCCGTGGTCAGTTCTGACTGTTGCTACTTGGTCCTTGTACAGATTCCTCAGGAGAGAGACAAGGTGATTTGGTATGCCCATACCACCAAGAACTGGCCACAATTTATTATGATCCACACAGTCAAAGGCTTTAGAATAGTCTATGAAGCAGAAGTAGATGTTTTTCTGAAACTCCCTGCCTTTCTCCATTATCCAGCGGATATTGGCAATTTGGTCTCGTTCCTCTGCCTTTTCTAAACCCAGCTTGAACATCTGGCAACTCTCGCTCCATGTATTGCTGGAGTCTTCCTTGCAGGATCTTGAGCATTACCTTACTGGCATGAGAAATAAGGGCCACTGTACGGAAGTTTGAGCAGTCTTTCGCATTTCCCTTTTTTGGTATGGGGATAAGTTGATTTTTTCCAGTCTGATGACCATTCTTGTGTTTTCCATATTTGCTGGCATATGGCATGCATCACCTTGACAGCATCATCTTTTAAGATTTTAAACAGTTCAGCTGGGATCCCGTCATCTCCTGCTGCCTTGTTGTTAGCAATGCTTCTTAAGGCCCATTCAACCTCACTCCTCAGGATGTCTGGTTCTAATTCATTCACCACACCGTCATAACTATCCTCAATATTATTATCCTTCCTATACAGATCTTCTGTATAGTCTCGCCACCTTCTCTTGATCTCTTCAGCTTCTGTTAGGTCCCTGCCATCTTTGTTTCTTATCATACCAATTTTTGCCTGAAATTTACCTCCAAGGTTTCTAATTTTCTGGAAGAGGTCTCTTGTCCTTCCTATTCTGCTGTCTTCTTCCACTTCCATGCAGTGCAACAATAACATTATGGTTACTACTGCTACTAAATAGTTAGAACTGGAAGGTGCAACAGTAACATTACTATTACTGCTACTAAATAGAACTGGAAGGTGCAACAGTAACTTTATTACTACTACTACTACTACTACTAAATAGTTAGAACTGGAAGGTGCAACAGTAACATTGTTATTATTATTATCACCACCACTACTACTACTACGACTACTATAAAATAGCTGGATCAAGAAGGTGCAACAATAACATTATGATTACTACTGCTACTAGATAGTTAGAACTGGAAGGTGCAACAGTAACATTGTTATTAATATATAACTGAGACTAGAAGATGCAACCGTAACATTATTAAACTGCAAATGGAAGATGCGACAGCAACAAGGTTATTATTATTATTATTATTATTATTATTATTATTATTAAAGAATTGGAAGATGCAAAAGTATTATTACTTATATACAGCTGGGATTAGAACATGTAACAGTAATGCTGCTATTATTATTATTATTATTATTATTATTATTATTGACATCCTGGGATTTGTAGTTTGCTAAGCACCAGAGAAGATTGCAAGCCTTATAAAAGTACAACTCATAGGCTCCCATAGCATTGAGCCATGGCTGTTCAAGTGAGTCAAAACTGCATTCATTCCTCCATGTAGATGGACCAAAAGTCCCTGTTGTCCTGGGTTCAGTAACATTACTACTACTATCCAGTTTGTCTTATTGGCAAGTCCTCTGAACCTTGGATCCAGATTTGCAAAGGTCTAGAAGCCAAACCTTATGAGGAACAACTGCAGGTATTGGATATGGGAAGGGTGAAGTTTCATCTATTCCATTGTGCCATTACCGCTCAAGTAGGGAGCTTTGAGATGGTTGAACAGAAGCTCTAAGCTCTAGGTGTTCTTACTGCCTATAACAGGGAAAACCATCTGATCCCTAATCCATTCTAAAACACAGACATGTGCTTTTCACCTTAAGAACAGACAAGCATCCTGAGCTCTGAGGATTACCTGGGAAGGAATCCCACTGGAGCATTGCAGCACACCCAAATACCTGGGAGTCACTCTGGACCGTGCTCTGACCTACAAGAAGCACTGCCTGAATCAAGCAAAAAGTGGGTGCTAGAAACAATATCATACAAAAGCTGACTGGCACAACCTGGGGATCACAACCAGACACAGTGAAGACATCTGCCCTTGCGATGTGCTACTCTGCTGCTGAGTATGCATGCCCAGTGTGGAACACATCTCACCACACTAAAACAGTGGATGTGGCTCTTAATGAGACATGCTGCATTATCACGGGGTGTCTGCGCCTACACCACTGGAGAAATTACACTGCTTAGCCGGTATTGCACCACCTGACATCCGCCGGGAAGTAGCAGCCAATAGTGAAAGGACCAAGGCAGAGACATCTCCAGCTCATCCCCTGTTTGGGTATCGGCCAGCAATCTAGAAATCTAGAAATAGTTTTCTAAGATCTACAGAGACACTCGCTGGAACACCTCAGCAAGCAGAGTCCAAAAGTGGCAGGCTCAAACCCAGAACCTCAACCAATGGCTGATACCAAATGAGAAACTCCCGCCTGGGCACACAGAGGACTGGGCGACTTGGAAGGCGCTGAACAGACTGCGCTCTGGCACCACGAGATGCAGAGCCAACCTTCAGAAATGGGGCCACAAAGTGGAATCCTCGACATGCGAGTGTGGAGAGGAGCAAACCACTGACCGCCTGCTGCAATGCAACCTGAGCCCTGCCACATGCACAAGGGAGGACCCTCTTGCAGCAACACCAGAGGCACTCCAAGGGGCCAGATACTGGTCAAAGGACTTCTAATCAACTACTAAGCTTGCAAATTCTGTGTTTTGTCTATTTGTTTATTTGTTTTTGTTAAAAATGTAATATAATTGACTGGCTGCCCTGACACGAAATAAAAAAAATAAATCTATTCCAAAGGCCATCCAATCCAAACCCATTCCGCCATGCAGGAAGACACCATCAAAGCCCTCCTGGCAGACGACCTTCCACCCTCTGTTTAAAAGCCTCCAGAGGAAGAGTCTTCACCAGACTCCTAGGCAGATGCTGGGAGCTGCTGTCCAAGGTTTGGAAAGTTGCACAAGTCCCACCATTGCAGCAAATCCCTGGAATTTGCTGTTAAAATTCCTGATTTTCTTCGCCTGCCGGGAAACGAGCGTTTGCTTGAAATGACATTTGTTGCACATACATATCATCTGTAAACAATTGCTGGACTCAGTTGTTTCCCATTGGCAAACTCTTCCTAGACTTTGTTGCAGGCCAACGTACACTGCGAGGTTGTTTTTCCCCCCTGACAAAACATTTAAGGAAGTACAGTGACAGTTCTTGTAAGAAGTTTTCGCTGATTTCTGTTGAGAGGCATCACAACAATCCTTCAGGCTTTCTCATACTTCCAGATAATGATGTCAACGGAGCGAATCCTGGATCCAGAAAATGTTTGTCATCTGCTTCTATTTGTTTAGGAGACAAGTGCTTCTCCAAAAGTTGATGTTGCGTCTTCCATTTCCAGCTATAGAATAATAATAATAATTTCCTTATCTTCTTCCTTCTCTATCTCTTTCCTTCCCCCTTTTTCTTTCTCTTCTGCTCTCTTTTCTTCCTTCTCTCTTTACTTCTTTCCTTCCCTTTCCCCCTTCCTTCCCTTTCTTTCCTTCCTTTTCCCTTTTTTCTCTTTCCTTTTCTTCTCTCCTTCCTTCCTTCTCTCTTTCTCTTCTTTCCCTCCTTCCTTCACTCCCTCTTTCCTTCCTTCCCATCTTTCCTTCTCTTCTTCCTTCCTTCTCTATCTCTTTCCTTCCTTCCTCCTTTTTCTTTCTCTTCTGTTGTCTCTCTTTTCTTCCTTCTCTCTTTCCTTCCCTCCCTCTTTCTCTACATCTTCCCCCTTCCTTCGCTCCCTCTTTCCTTCTTTCCCTTTTTTCTTTCCTTCTCTCCTTCCTTCCTTCCTCTCTAACTTTCCTTCCTTCCCCCTTTTTCTTTCCCTCCCTCTTTCTCTCCTTTCTTCCTTTCTTCCCTCTTTCCTTTCCTTCCTTTTTCTTTCCTCTCTCTTCCTTCCTTCTCTACTTTCTTCCTTCCCCCTTTTCTTCCCTCCCTCTTCTCTCCTTCTTTCCCTCCTTCCTTCCTCTTTCCCTCCTTCCTTCCTTCCTTCCTTCCTTCCTTCCCATCTTTCTTCTCTTCTTCTTCTTCTATCTCTTTCCTTCTTCCCCTTTTTTTTCTCTTCTGCTGCCTCTCTTTTCTTCCTTCTCTCCTTTTCCTTCCCTCCCTCTTTCTCTACATCTTCCCCCTTCCTTCACTCACCCTTTCCTTCCTTCTTTCCCTTTTTCTTTCCTTTCTCCTTCTTCCTTCTCTCTTTCCTTCCTTCCCTTCTTCTTTCCTCCCTCTTTCTCTCTTTTCTTCCTTCTCTACTCTTTCTTTCTTCCCCTTTCTTCTTCTTTTCTCCTTTCTTCTTTCTCTTTCTTTCTTCCCTCTTGTCTTTCCTCTCCTTTCCTTCCTCCTCTTTCCTCTTCTTTCCCTTTTCTTCCTTCTCTCCTTCCTTCTCTACTTTCCTTCCTTTCCCCCTTTTCTTTCCCTCCCTCTCTCCTTCTTTCCCTCCTTCCTTCATTCTCCCTTTCCTTCCTCCTTCCTTCCTTTTCCTTCCTTCCTTCCTTCCTTCCTTCCTTCCTTCCTTCCCATCTTCTTTTCTTCTTCTCCTCTCTCCTTCCTTCCCCCTTTTCTTTCTCTTCTGCTCTCTTTTCTTCCTTCTCTCTTTCCTTCTTTCTTCCCTCCTCTTCTCTACATCTCCCCCTTCCTTCGCTCCCTCTTTCCTTCCTTCTTCCCTTCTTTCCTTCTCTCTCTTCTTCCTCTCTCTTTTCCTTCCTTCCCCCTTTTTCTTTCTCTTCTGTCTCTTTCTTCCTTCTCTCTTTCCTTCCCTCCCTCTTTCTCTACATCTTCCCTTCCTTTGCTCCTTCTTTCCTTCCTTCTTTCCTTTCTTTCTTTTTTTCTCTCCTTCCTTCCCTTTTCTTTTCTTCTCTCTTTTCTTCCTTCTCTCTTTCCTTCCCTCCCTCTTTCTCTACATCTTCTCCCCTTCCTTTGCTCCTTCTTTCCTTCCTTCTTTCCTTTCTTTCTTTCCTTCTCTCCTTCCTTCTCTAACTTTCCTTCCTTCCCCCTTGTTCTTTCCCTCCCTCTTTCTCTCCTTTCTTCCTTCTCTACCTCTTTTTTCCTTCTCTCTTTGCTTCCATGCTTCCTTCTCCCTTTCCTTCTTTCTTTCCCTCCCCTTTTTTTCTTTCTTTCTTTTTCTCCCCTTCCTTTCCTTCTTTCTTCCTTTTCCCTCCCTCTTTCTTCTTTTTTTCTGTATTGTCGTTTAGCTGTCATTTAGCTTTTGGGGGCTTTTGAAGTCCCTTCTGCTGTGTTTTTCAGTGTTTTTCTGAGTGAAGGACATACATTGGACTGTTAGGTGTCTTGTGTCCAAATTTGGTGTCCATCCCCCCAGTGGTTTTTGGGTTATGTCAATCCCACAAACGAACATTACATTTTTATTTATATAGATTGGATGTTATGGCCAGAAACAGCAAACACACTCCGTCTCCGTTCTGTCTGGTCACCTAGACCTTAGATAAGAATTACGATGTATGCATTAGATTATATCAAGTTGTGTAACTCGGAAGTCCTATAAAATACGGATACTTGGAAGGAACTTGGTGGAAACTTGGGCCAAAGTAATTGTTTGTTGTCCCTTTGCCATCATGTGTGCATAAAATGCAAAAAAATGCAAAAAAGGGGGAGAACACAGCAACCATCTCCAGCACGTCAATTAGAAGCCTAGATCTATAAGTCCTTGAGCAGAGAGAGAAAATGCAAGATATAAACAAACAATCATAATAATAATTGTGATATGAAATCCAACATATATATCTCGTTTGCTGTGTCATACTGTGTTTTTGTGTCAGTAAAATAATAATAATAATAATAATATTAAAATAATAATAATAATAATAATAATAATAATAATAATAATAATAATCTTCATGTATACCCCTCCACCATCTTCCCAAAGGAACCCAAGTGGATTCCACTTTTGCTGTGACATAATGTGTTTTTGTGTCAGTAAAATAATAATAATAATAATAATAATAATAATAATATGAAATCCAGAATATAGATCTCATTTGCTGTGATATACTGTGTTTTTGTGTCAGTAAAATAATAATATAATAATAATATGAAATCCAGAATATAGATCTCATTTGCTGTGATATACTGTGTTTTTGTGTCAGTAAAATAATAATAATAATAAATAATAATACGAAATCCAGCATATAGATCTCATTTGCTGTGACGTAGTGTGTTTTTGTGTCAGTAAAATAATAATAATAATAAACATCATAATAATAGTATGAAATCCAGCATATAGATCTCATTTGCTGTGACGTAGTGTGTTTTTGTGTCAGTAAAATAATAATAATAATAAACATCATAATAATAGTACGAAATCCAGCATATAGATCTCATTTGCTGTGACGTAGTGTGTTTTTGTGTCAGTAAAATAATAATAATAATAAACATCATAATAATAGTATGAAATCCAGCATATAGATCTCATTTGCTGTGACGTAGTGTGTTTTTGTGTCAGTAAAATAATAATAATAATAAACATAATAATAATACGAAATCCAGCATATAGATCTCATTTGCTGTGACGTAGTGTGTTTTTGTGTCAGTAAAATAATAATAATAATAAACATCATAATAATAATACGAAATCCAGCATATAGATCTCATTTGCTGTGACGTAGTGTGTTTTTGTTCAGAAAAATAATAATAATAATAATAATAGTACAAAATCCAGCATATAGATCTCATTTGCTGTGACATACTGTGTTTTTGTGTCAGTAAAATAATAATAATAATAATAATAATAATAATAATAAATCCAGCATATAGATCTCATTTGCTGTGACGTAGTGTGTTTTTGTGTCAGTAAAATAATAAACATAATAATAATAAACATAATAATAATAATACGAAATCCAGCATATAGATCTCATTTGCTGTGACGTACTGTGTTTTTGTGTCAGTAAAATAATAATAATAATAAACATCATAATAATAATACGAAATCCAGCATATAGATCTCATTTGCTGTGACATACTGTGCTTTTGTGTCAATAATAATAATAATATAATAATAATACAAAATCCAGCATATAGATCTCATTTGCTGTGACATACTGTGTTTTTGTGTCAGTAAAATAGATAATAATAATAATAATAATAATAATAATAATAATAGCATATATATCTTATTTGATAGATCTCATTTGCTGTGACGTAGTGTGTTTTTGTTTCAGAAAAATAATAATAATAATAATAATAATAATAGTACAAAATCCAGCATATAGATCTCATTTGCTGTGACATACTGTTTTTTTGTGCCAGTATAATAATAATAATAATAATAATAATAATAATAATAATAATATTTTCCCAGGGTCATGTCTTTCATTGAGAAGAGCGTGGCACGGATGGACCAGGAACCGAAGCTGCAGCAATTGGCCTTTGAATTGGGCAGAAGCCATTGCCGGTACAAAGCGCCTCCCAAATATTACGAGGTGAGAAGTGAGGAGGCTGGATGGCCATCTGTCAGGAGGGATTGGATTGAGTCTTTGTGTATTGCAGAAAAGGGTTGGACTAGATGGCCTTTGGGAGTACCTTCCAATTCTAGTCTTTGGGGCCCCTTCCAGTATAGACTGCCTTGGAACCCAGTGGGGTCTCCTTCTTTGAAAGCTTCTCAACAGGCTGGATGGCCATCTGTCAAGAGGGATCAGATTGTGTCTTCCTCTTTTGCAAAAGGGGCTGGACTGAATACAATACAGCCACGGCTATTGAGTCGCTATGGGGAGAAAGGTGGGATAGAAATAATAATAATAATAATAACAACAACAATTTCTAATAAATTAGCCGTCCCCTGCCACGCGTTGCTGTGGCCCACATGGGGATTCTGTGTGGGAGGTTTGGCCCAATTCTATCGTTGGTGGGGTTCAGAATGCTCTGTGATTGTAGGTGAACTATAAATCCCAGCAACTACAACTCCCGAATATCAAGATTCTATTTTCCCCAAACTCCACCAGTGTTCACATTTGGGCATATTGAATATTCGTGTAGAGTTTGGTCCAGATCCATCATTGTTTGAGTCCACAGTGATCTCTGGATGTAGGTGAACTACAACTCCAAAACCAAAGGACACTGCCCACCAAACCCTTCCAGTATTTTCTGTTGGTCGTGGGAGTTCTGTGTGCCAAGTTTGGTTCAATTCCATCGTTGGTGGGGTTCAGAATGCTCTTTGTAGGTGAACTATAAATCCCAGCAACTACAACTCCCAAATGACAAAATCAATTTTTTTTGAGTGAAGGACATACATTGGGTTGTTAGGTGTCTTGTGTCCAAATTTGGTGTCAGTTCATCCAGTGGTTTTGGAGTTCTGTTAATCCCACAAACGAACATTACATTTGTATTTATATATAATTATAATATTATAATAAATTATAATAAATAAATAATAATAACTTGGGAAGTGTCCGACGTGTGATCCAATACAACAGCCAGCAGAGTGTCTCCTGTGGGCTCATCTTGCTCTGTTTATAATAATAATAATAATAATAATAATAATAATAATAATAACAATAATAGAGCTGCTAAAGTGTCATGTGAACTGTCCCTGGGGCCATCCCTAGAGCTCAGATTGTGGGGTAGTCCTGACCCAGCAAACAAAGTGAGAGGGATATTAATATGGTTGCCATTTACTTTCTTCTCCTATTCTTCTCCTAATGCAATTCCACCTTCTTTTCTTCATTCTCCAGTACATTGGTACCCAGTTCATCCAAGCAGCCCAACCCATCCTGAAAGAAGCCTGGACCCCAGAGACTGAAAAGGCCTGGGAGGTAAGAATATTTTCCCCAGTTACTATGGGGATTCTGGGAAATGTAGTTTTGGAAAACATAACTTCCCTAAGTATAAAAAACTAGCCATCCCCTGCCACGCGTTGCAGTGGCCCACTTTGGTGGTCGTGGGGGTTCTGTGTGGGAGGTTTGGCCCAATTCTATCGTTGGTGGGGTTCAGAATGCTCTGTGATTTTAGATGAACTATAAATCCCAGTAACTGCAACTCCCAAATGTCAAGATCTATTTCCCCCAAAGTCCATCTGTGTTCATATTTGGGCATATGGAATATTCGTGCCAAGTTTGGTCCAGATCCATCATTGTTTGAGTCCACAGTGCTCTCTGGATGCAGGTGAACTACAACTCCCAAACTCAAGGTCAATGCTCACCAAACCCTTCTAGTGTTTTCTGTTGGTCATGGGAGACCTGTATGCCCCAGTTGGTTCAATTCTATCATGCTATTTGATTGTAGATGAACTATAAATCCCAGCAACTACAACTCCCTATCTATCTATCTATCTATCTATCTATCTATCTATCTATCTATCTATATCTATGGCTAGATGGCTTTTTATTTATTTATTTATTTATTTACTTTGCTTCTATACCGCTGTATCTCAAGCCCGAAGGCGACTCACGGCGGTTCACAAACAGTAGAAACAGTAGAAACAGCAGTGGTTCCATACAACATATAACAATTGACTTAACACATTATCCATAAATTACCAATAAGCAATTACAATGCACAATTATTACAAAAAACAACCGTACCCAATCTTCTCATCATCCAAGCGTAGTCCAGGTTCGTCGTCCATTGTTCCATTCCTATGTTCCATTACCAGATTGCACTAAATTACTCAAACGCCTGCACAAACATCCAGGTCTTCACCTTTTGCGGAATACCATTAGAGATGGTGCTAGTCTAATGTCCGTAGGAAGGGCGTTCCACAGCCGAGGAGCCACCACCGAGAAGGCCCTATCTCTCGTCCCCGCCAGCCGAGCTTGAGAAGCAGGCGGGATCGAGAGCAGGGTTTCCCCGGAAGATCTCAAAGTCCTGGTGGGTTCATAGGCAGAGATGCGGTCAGAGAGGTAGCTTGGGCCGGAACCGTTTAGGGCTTTAAAGGCCAACGCCAGCACTTTGAATTCAGCCCGGTAGCAGATCGGTAGCCAGTGGAGTTGGCGCAACAGGGGGGTGGTATGCTCCCTGCGCTCCGCTCCTGTTAAAATCATGGCTGCCGAGCGTTGGACTAGTTGGAGCTTCCGAGCTGTCTTCAAAGGCAACCCCACGTAGAGAGCGTTGCAGTAGTCTAAACGGGATGTAACCAGAGCGTGGACTACCGTGGCTTTTTGTCAGGACAACTTTGATTACGTTTTCTTTTAGTGTTTTCTGTTGTTTATGGGAGTCCTGTGTGTCACATTTGGTTCAATTCCATCGTTGGTGGAGTTCAGAATGCTCTTTGATTGTAAGTAAACTATAAATCCCAGCAACTACAACTCCCAAATGACAAAATCATAATTTTTTGAGTGATGGTCACTCCTTGTGTTGTGAGACGTTTTGTTGCCAAATTTGGTGTGATTTTGTTCACTGGTTCTTTTGTTTTTAAGGTACTCATTATGCACGGAGCATTTATATATATATAGATGCAAGAGTTCCATAGGCAGGTCACAGGCTTAAATGCAAAGACACAGTTCCCAAGATCCAAAGGCAAAAACATGAAGCATAATCCTTTAGCAATGGGCAAACAAGAGTCCATGGAAAACAGTTGAAAACAAGGCCCAAATCCCAGACTCAGGAAGCTAGAAGTGAGCTGCTAAAAGCCAAAGTTAATCCACAGAAGTTTTCATGGGAAGATCTATGTTGAACTGACAACCCCTGCTTGTCAGCTACAAGGCTAAATACCCTTTGCAGACATGAACACATTGCATTGACCTTTGACACCCTTGGCTTCTCACTTGCTAGCCAAGCAAGTGCTTCTCCGGAGCCTTAATTGCAGATGATCTTGTCTGCTCATTAATTCATTATCTTCAAGGCTATGTAACCCCTTATCTTGGTCCAGCTGGACCGGATCACTGTGGGGAGGAAAAGACGTCTCCACCTGGCCGTGTGGGAATTCACTCTCATTATCAGTCTCACTAACATTCCTTTCCCCTGGGAACTGACTTGCTGAGGGGAAGTCATAGGGAGGAGGGAGCAAGCTTGTTTTCTGCTTCCTTGGAGACTAGGACGCGGAACAATGGCTTCAAACTACAAGAGAGGAGATTCCATCTGAACATGAGGAAGAACTTCTGACTGTGAGAGCTGTTCAGCAGTGGAACTCTCTGCCCCGGAGTGTGGTGGAGGCTCCTTCTTTGGAAGCTTTTAAGCAGAGGCTGGATGGCCCGTTGGGATTGCTTTGAATGTGATTTTCCTGCTTCTTGGCAGAATGGGGTTGGGCTGGATGGTCTCTTCCAACTCTGCACCCCCCCTCCCACGCACACACATGATTCTATGATTAATTAGCAATCTTATGGTTTAAAGTCATATTAATTAGCCGTGAGATCGTCAAATTAACGAAATATCTAAATAAAGACAAAATAAGTTAATATTAGCATATCTATCGATATAGAATCATAGAATCCTTGAGTTGGAAGAGACCTCCTGGGCCATCCAGTCCAACCCCATTCTGCCAAGAAGCAGGAATATTGCATTCAAATCACCCCTGACAGATGGCCACCCAGCCTCTGTTTCAAAGCTTCCAAAGAAGGAGCCTCCACCACACTCCGGGGCAGAGAGTTCCACTGCTGAACGGCTCTCACAGTCAGGAAGTTCTTCCTCATGTTCAGATGGAATCTCCTGTCTTGTAGTTTGAAGCCATTGTTCTGCGTCCTAGTCTCCAGGAAAGCAGAAAACAAGCTTGCTCCCTCCTCCCTGTGGCTTCCTCTCACATATTTATACATGGCTATCATATCTCCTCTCAGCCGTCTCTTCTTCAGGCTAAACATGCCCAGCTCCTTAAGCCGCTCCTCATAGGGCTTGTTCTCCAGACCCTTGATCATTTTAGTCGCCCTCCTCTGGACACATTCCAGCTTGTCAATATCTCTCTTGAATTGGTGCCCAGAATTGGACACAATATTCCAGGTGTGGTCTAACCAAAGCAGAATAGAGGGGTAGCATTACTTCCCTAGATCTAGACACTATGCTCCTATTGATGCAGGCCAAAATCCCATTGGCTTTTTTTGCCGCCACATCACATTCCTGGGCTCATGTTTAACTTGTTGTCCACGAGGACTCCAAGATCTTTTTCACACGTACTGCTCTCGAGCCAGATCACTCTTCTCCAAACACAACAAAACAGATGTTGTTATAGTTTTGGAATGAGCTAATCTACCTGTCCTAAGAGCAATGTATGTGAGTTCACCTGTTCTTTTGCCACCGCAGGGCTTGTTCCGATACCTGGCAGCAACTATGCGGAGAGGCTACTATAAAGAACAGAAGGCTACGAGCAAGAATTAGTCCAGAGACCAAATCCGAAGACCGTTCGCAAGCCTCCTCCGACCTGGGCCTGGTATATCCGAGGATCAGCTCACCTCCACCTTTTCTACAATCCTGTGTATTCCCTGCTCCTGTTTCCCAAGGGCGACTTTTATTTTTCCGGCAGGACGCAAGGGGTGGCTTGGCCAGGATGGGCAAGAGATGCACACCTGGCCTTCATTGGTCATATCTGGGCTACGGACACATTTGTCTCACCAGGTTTGGTTGTGATTTACACCTGGAAGTAGGCTGTGGTTACGGAAATCTAGGCCTTTTGAGGAGTGTTTTCGGGGTTAAAAGAAAAGGAAAGCAGAAAGATTTGAGGGAGGACGATAGGACCATTAAAAGAAGTCCTTAGCCCAGTGTTTCTCAACCTGGGGGTCGGGACCCCTGAGGGGGTCGTGAAGGGGTGTCAGAGGGGTCACCAAAGACCATCAGAAAACACAGTATTTTCTGATGGTCATGGGGATTCCATGTGGGAAGTCTGAGCCAATTCTATCGTTGGTGGAGTTCAGAATGTTCTTTGATTGTAATGAACTATAAATCCCAGCAACGACAACTCCCAAAAGTCAAGGTCTATTTTCCCCAAGCTCCACCAGTGTTCACATTTGCGCATATTGAGTATTTGTGCCAAGTTTGGTCCAGATCCACCATTGCATGAGTGCACAGTGCCCTCTGGATATAGGTGAACTACAACTCCCAAACTCAAGGTCAATACCCACCAAACCCTTCCAGTGTTTTCCATTGGTCGTGGGAGTTCTGTGTGGCAAATTAGGTTCAAATCCATCACTGGTGGAGTTCAGAATGCTCTTTGATTATAGGCGAACTATAAATCCCAGCAACTACAACTCCCAAATTACAAAATCAATCCTCCCCCAACCCCACTAGTGATTACATGTAGTTGCATGGTGTATTTGTGCCCAGTTTGGTCCAGTGAATGAAAATACATCTTGCATATCTGATTTTTACATTATGATTTATAACAGTAGTTAAATGACTGTTATGAAGTCGCAACGAAAACAATATTATGGTTGGGGGTCACCACAACATGAGGGACTGTATTCAGGGGTCACGGCATTAGGAAGGTTGAGAACCACACCCTTAGCCTGATGAATAATATAAGAGCACATATATATATATATATATATATACACACACACACACACACATATATACACAAATATATGTACGTGTGTTTGTAGTACAAAGGCTGTTTCTAGGTGAAGTGGCCCTCTAATGCCACTATATTGCTAGGTGGAGTGGCCCTCTGTAATGTCACAGGATTGCCTCTAGGTGATGTGTTCCCATGATGGCACTGGATTGTCTGTGATATTATACACACACACTCTCACACACATATATATATATACACAAATATATGTATGCATATGTTTGTCTGTAGTACAAAGGCTGTTTCTAGGACAAGTGGCCCTCTAATGCCACTGGATTGCCTGTTTCTAGGTGAAGTGCCCCCCTGTGATGCCACTGTATTTGCCTGTTGCTAGGTGAAGTGGCTACCTGTAATGACACCAGATTGCCTGATGCTGGGTGAAGTGGCTCCCTGTAATGACACCAGGTTGCTGGGTGAAGTGGCCCTATGCGATGACACCAGATTGCCTGTTGCCAGGTGAAGTGGCCCCCTGTGACGCCAATGGATTGCCTGTTGCCAGGTGAAGTGGCCCCCTGTGATGCCACCTGATTGCCTGTTGCCAGGTGAAGTGGCCCCCCCGTGATGGCACTGGATTTGGCTTGGCTGTTGCTAAGTGAAGTAGCCCTCGGTGATGTCACTGGGTTGCCTCTAGGTGAAGTGTCCCCATGATGACACTGAATTGCCTGTTTCTAGGTGAAGTGCCCCCCCTGTGATGCCACTGTATTTGCCTGTTGCTAGGTGAAGTGGCCCCCTGTAATGACACCAGGTTGCCTGTTGCTGGGTGAAGTGGCTCCCAGTAATGACACCAGGTTGCTGGGTGAAGTGGCCCTATGTGATGACACCAGATTGCTTATTGCCAGGTGAAGTGACCCCTGTGATTGCCTGTTGCCAGGTGAAGTGGCCCTTGTGATGCCACCTGATTGCCTGTTGCTAGGTGAAGTGGCCCCCTGTGATGCCACCTGATTGCCTGTTGCTAGGTGAAGTGGCCCCCTGTGATGCCACTGGATTCGGCTTGGCTGTTGCTAAGTGAAGTGGCCCTCGGCGATGTCACTGGGTTGCCTCTAGGTGAAGTGTCCCCATGATGACACTGAATTGCCTGTTTCTAGGTGAAGTGCCCCCCTGTGATGCCACTGTATTTGCCTGTTGCTAGGTGAAGTGGCCCCCTGTAATGACACCAGGTTGCCTGTTGCTGGGTGAAGTGGCTCCCAGTAATGACACCTTGTGATGCCACCTGATTGCCTGTTGCTAGGTGAAGTGGCCCCCTGTGATGCCACTGGATTCGGCTTGGCTGTTGCTAAGTGAAGTGGCCCTCGGCGATGTCACTGGGTTGCCTCTAGGTGAAGTGTCCCCATGATGACACTGAATTGCCTGTTTCTAGGTGAAGTGCCCCCCTGTGATGCCACTGTATTTGCCTGTTGCTAGGTGAAGTGGCCCCCTGTAATGACACCAGGTTGCCTGTTGCTGGGTGAAGTGGCTCCCAGTAATGACACCAGGTTGCTGGGTGAAGTGGCCCTATGTGATGACACCAGGTTGCCTGTTGCCAGGTGAAGTGGCCCCCTGTGAAGCCAACGGATTGCCTGTTGCCAGGTGAAGTGGCCCCCTGTGACGCCAATGGATTGCCTGTTGCCAGGTGAAGTGGCCCCCTGTGATGCCACCTGACGGCTTGGCTGTTGCTAAGTGAAGTGGCCCTCGGCGATGTCACTGGGTTGCCTCTAGGTGAAGTGTCCCCATAATGACACTGAATTGCCTGTTTCTAGGTGAAGTGCCCCCCTGTGATGCCACTGTATTTGCCTGTTGCTAGGTGAAGTGGCCCCCTGTAATGAAACTGGATTGCATGTTGCCAGGTGAAGTGGCCCTTTTGTGGTGACACTGGATTCAGCTTGGCTGTTGCTAAGTGAAGTGGCCCTCTGTGATGTCACTGGGTTGCCTGTTTCTAAGTGGAGTGACCTTCTGTGAATCCAATGGATTTTCTGTTGCTAGGTGAAGTGACCCTCTGTCATGTCACTAGGAAAGAAAGATGATGTGTATGAGAGGGAGGGAAGGAAGGAGGGAGGGAGGGAGGGAGGAAGGAAGGAAGGAAGGAAGGAAGGAAGGAAGGAAGGAGGAAGGAAGGAAGGAAGGAAGGAAGGAAAGAAAGGTAGAAAAGCAAGAGAGGAAGAAGAGGGATGGAAGGAAGAAAGAGAAAGGGAAAGGGAAAAGGTACGACAGCGCTTTTAGCCATTCAGAGTAAAACTTTTGAGCAGATTTTCTGTGCTGGCATCCGTCTGCTTCAGTCCCGACACTTTATGTTGGATTGTAAATTCTTATTATTAAATGTTATTAAGCCATCCATCGGCTTCTGTCCTCCTTGGCCGAGAGAGTGACGCCTTTGTTTTCTGGAGGCTCAAGCAAGGCACGCAAGAATTGTTTCAGGCACAACATCATTAGTTTAAGATTACTTCCAGGAAATGTGTATCAGGTTTATAGAGCTATTGTCCTCCCAACCCTGTTATATTCCCAACCCGTGGACTAGGACAACAAAGGATCTCTTAAGTAAGTAAGTAAGTAAGTAAGTAAGTACTGTCCTCCCAACCCTGTTCTACTCCTATGAAACGTGGACTGTCTACAGATGTCACACACAACTCCTGGAACAATTCCATCAGCATTGCCTCTGAAAAATCCTGCAAATCTCTTGGGAAGACAGGCAGAGAAATGTCAGTGTGCTGGACGAAGCAAAGATGACCAGCATTGAAGCAATGCTCCTCCACCATTAACTCCGCTGGACCGGCTATGTTGTCCGGATGCCTGACCACCGTCTCCCAAAGCAGTTGCTCTACTCCAAACTCAAGAATGGAAAACGCAATGTTGGTGGACAGGAAAAGAGATCGAAAGATGGGCTCAAAGCAAACCTTAAAAACTGTGGCAGAGACACCGAGAACTTGGAAGCCCTGTCCCTTGAGTGCTCTAACTGGAGATCAGCTGTGACCAGCAGTGCTACAGAATTCGAAGAGGCACGAATGAAGGGTGAAAGAGAGAAATGTACCAAGAGGAAGAAGGCATATCAAACCAACCATGACAGGGACCAACTTCACCTGGAAACCGATGTCCTCACTGCGGAAGAACATGCAGGTCAAGAATCGGACTCCACAGTCACCTACGTACCCACCACCAGGACACTAAACTTGGAGGACAAGCTTACTCAGACAACGAGGGATTGCCTAAGTAAGTAAGTAAGTAAGTATTGTCCTCCCAACCCTGTTCTACTCCTATGAAACGTGGACTGTCTACAGATGTCACACACAACTCCTGGAATGATTCCATAAGCGTTGCCTCTGAAAAATCCTGCAAATCTCTTGGGAAGACAGGCAGGGAAATGTCAACAGGCTGGAAGAAGAAGCAAAGACCACCATCATTGAAGCAATGCTCCTCCACCATTAACTCCGCTGGACCGGATATGTTGTCTGGATGCCCAACCACCGTCTCCCAAAGCAGTTGCTCTACTCCGAACTCAAGAATGGAAAACGGAGTATTGGTGGACAGGAAAAGAGGTTTAAAGATGGGCTTAAAGCAAACCTTAAAAACTGTGGCAGAGAGACCGAGAACTGGGAAGCCCTGGCCCTTGAGCGCTCTAACTGGAGATCAGCTGTGACCAGCAGTGCTGTGGAATTCAAAGCGGCACGAATGGAGGGTGAGAGTCCTGTGTGCCAAGATTGGTTACATTTCATCATTGGTGGGGTTCAGAATGCTCTTTGATTATAGGTGAACTATAAATCCCAGCAACTACAACTCCTAAAAGTCAAGGTCTATTTTCCCCAAACTCCACCTGTGCTTTGTTGGTCATGAGAGTTCTGTGTGCCAAGATTGGTTCCATTCCATCATTGGTGGGGTTCAGAATGCTCTTTGGTTGTAGGTGAACTATAAATCCCAGTAGCTACAACTCCTAAAAGTCAAGGTCTATTTTCCCCAAACTCCACCAGTGCTTTGTTGGTCATGAGAGTTCTGTGTGCCAAGATTGGTTCCATTCCATCATTGGTGGGGTTCAGAATGCTCTTTGGTTGTAGGTGAACTATAAATCCCAGTAGCTACAACTCCCAAATGTCAAGGTCTATTTTCCCCAAACTCCACCAGTGCTTTGTTGGTCATGAGAGTTCTGTGTGCCAAGATTGGTTCCATTCCATCATTGGTGGGGTGCAGAATGCTCTTTGATTGTAGGTGAACTATAAATCCCAGTAGCTACAACTCCCAAATGTCAAGGTCTATTTTCCCCAAACTCCACCAGTGCTTTG